GGGGGGGGGGGGGGGGGCAAAATAACCCTTGAAGGTAGGGGCCATTTCGTCCTTAAGGACATCAGACTAAGGAGCAATACTATCAATTATTTGAGCCCCCGTGCTAGGGCTACCTGTAAACTGTAATACTGTAACTGCAATGAGGAACCCCAGATTAGAGGCTTGTAATATATGGGAATATAGTGAGGGTTCAGCGAACGAACGAAGGACGGCCAGTGGAAAGAGCAACTCTTATGACAACGGCAACGAAAGCATTTGTATGTGCTTGGATATTCAGGGCCTAGGTCGTCGAACTGTCGGATTCGGAGACTAGGAGTTCATGATTTGGATCACGTGTGAAAAGTCAACGGCCTTCACCCAAGGCACAGGCCCCAAACAAGCACTGCCCAGCACGCAAGAGACCTCAACCCTGTTGCCGGAAATCCCGGAAAGACAAGCATGCAAGCAAGTGGACATGTAGGTATGCCAGACATATGCATGAATAGCACAGCCATGGGTAGAGCAGCTATTTGTGCATGACTGGGTCCTGGGTTTGCGCATTCTTAAACAGCCAATCAAAACATGCATGCAGGCAGGCAAACAGACAGGCAGGCAGGCAGACAGACACACACGCTTGCTATGATTCTCGCATTTGCTGCCGCGTCTCCTTTCTTTGTTGCTCCTGCGATCTCTACTCGAACCCTGAACCCTTCTTGAACACTTCTTGAACCTTGGACAGAAGTCAAGAGCAGGCATTCATACAAGCCGCGAGGCAAAGCCAGCCGCGCCTGCATGCACCTGTACATCTTTCCCACGTGCTCCGGCTCCACACGGCAGTCGCCATCCTAACTCTGGAAGACGACAGGATTATCGGAAGCTTTCTTGGGGCTTCTGAAAATGAAGGGCAACTGATCTAGGGCATTTGGGGTGTCTTATCTGAGGAATTGTTGCTGGGAGATCTGAAAATTGGTGGGTTCCGTCTTGATGTCCATGCACTAGGGATCCTGCCAGAAACGGTTCTAATCATGACTGTAGCTGCAGCTACGCCTTGCCATCAACATGAACCTTGCATACTCGATATATACCCTGGGCAACCAGGCCAAAAATCGAACGACATCTTAGGCCCGTGTTTCTCCCCCGAAGAAGGACCCTTGGACCGCTTTTGACCTCAGAAGCCCTAAACCCTAAACTCTAAACCCCTAATAAACCCCTAAACCCCTAACCCTAGACCCTAAACCCTAAACCCTAAGCCGAGGAGCCAGCAGCAGCAGGGCTTTTGGGTTGGGTCGGCCGGCATCGTGGTCAGCCTGAAGCAGCGACCTGGGACACTGGGCTTAGGGCTTAGGGTTTAGGGGTTTGGGGGGGTTGGGGTTTGGGGTTTAATGATTAGGGTTTATGGTTTAGGGTTTAGGGGTTTAGGGTTTAGGGTTTAGGGTTTCGATCAACACGCTCCCAAACAAAGGAGGAGATCAAATTCCCCGAAGGCCCACCTAGCACAGGGCAGTGCCGAAAACTCTCCTGACCTCACAACCGAGACTGGGGGGGCGGGGGGCTTGTTGCCCGGACTGTCTGAAACTCCCATATGGAGCTTGGGGCATAGCTTTTTTCACGTTTTGCTGGTGAAGGTTGTCTGGGTTCACCTGTGCCAGCGCAAGGATGTGCTCCTTCTTTCGTTTATTTGTGCCTGCACCCTCAAAGTCTTACATTAAATCTCTGCTTGCGGCTGCATGTTTGAACAATGACGGATCCTAAGCATGAACAAGGCTACACAAGGAAAGGACCAAGTACACCCTGTCAGGAAGCTGCCAGAATCTTCACTCCAAGCCTCGCCGGCAGCTGCAACACGCCAAAAGCGCAGATCCCTAACTTGGAATCACAATCTATCTTGAAGCCCCAAGCCCATAAAGGGTAGACAACAACATCAGCTCGAGAGGGTGAGGCCTCTCAGACCCGCCCTAAACTATACACATCTGTATATACATGGGTTTAGAGTTTAGGGTTTAGGGGTTAGGGCTTAGGATTTAGGGTTTAGGGTTTCTATAGGATGTGTATACATGGAAGAGCTCTGCATAGAAAAAGAGATGTCCAAGGGCGCAAGCCCAATAACCAAACCAACGCCGAGGGGCATGCACAGGGCCTGTGAGGCCCGCTTGGATCGTGGACAGTCCTTGCCCTTCACCTCAGCAAAGTTGAGGGTTCAGTCTCTAGGGTTTTTAGGGCTTCTAGGGTTACTTGAAGGGTTCTAAACAGGTCTTGGTTCAGGACTTTGCACCTTAGAACTTGACGGCTTGTGGCTTCAGGATGTGAAAGGTTCGGATTTGGGGATTTGGCCTTCTGGCTTCGGGTATTCAGGACTTAGCACTGTAGGATTTTGGACTTTGTGGGTTGGGGGCCTAAACCCTATAAACCCTAAACCCTAAACCCTAAACCCTGAAACCATTAAGGTTTAGGATCTTTGGATTCAGGATGTAGCCTTACGGAGCGAGGCTCTCGCGTTTAGGTCGGGGTGTGAGTATTCAACATTAACACGAGAAGTATAGGCTTATAAGGGCCGTCTTGTGGAACGACGATAGTTCGATAGAAGGCCTATGGTGATGGTGATGGCAGTGCTAAGGGCAAGGCTGCAGGTGATCAGGGTGATAACAGCGATGATGACGATTAACGAAAGGCGAAGCGCAGAGACTTACTAGTGTTGGCTCTTCCTGCTGCAACACATCCCACGCACACCAACAATGACACCGTCGCCAACACCTCTGTAAGCATGGCTGCCACCACCATCAACAGGCACAGTGTATTGGATTGAGGATATTTGTAGCTGATGTAGGTAGTGCTCCCGCAGGTGCTCTGATTATGAGCTCAATGTATCGCCCATTTTTCTTGACTTGACGGGGCCAGTGTGTTTCATGGCTCTGCTGTGGCACTGCACAGACAAGGGGGGGCAGAGTGTGGATCTCGAAACCCTAAACCCACAGTCCTGAAGCCCTTCGCCCAATCGGGTGACAAGAGTAGCAGAAGACTTGGGCCAAGCCGCATAAACCTCGAAAGGATACGGGACAGCACCCTGCTTGATACCGCGGATGCACACACAGCCATGATCCGTCTCCACCTTCCGCCAGAGGAAGTAAGGATTCAGGACGTGAGTCGTAGGTCCGAAGCTTCAGCGCCACGGTGCCCAGAGAGCCCAAATGTGTCAGAAATATTCCTAAATGATGAGTTTATGAGAAGTAGTTGGAAGCCTTATAATAATGCCTTAAGTATTCCTATAAATGACTGAATGAGATACAGTCTGAGCCAGATTTCCGAAATGCAGGGCATTGGGCTCTCTGGGTATCCCAAGACCCCTTACCTAGGGCCTTGCGGGTTCAGGGTCTACCCGTTTTTCCTATCCTCCAGTCTACTTAGACCCTTAAATGTAGTACCTTTTCTTGGATGACCTATTTTATGGTTAGGATCCTATATAAGAAACCACGGTAAGGGTCTAGGTACTACTCCGGCAAAAAAGGAGCATGTTCCAAATCGGCTTATTCGCTGAGTGAAAGCGCAGAACACTCAGAGATGATACCCAGAGGGTCCGAAGATACTGAAGCTATTGACTTTTATAGGCATCATAAACACCATTCTTTTGGGGACCTAGTGCCATAAGAATAGTATTTATGGACCTTTTGACTGGACTTCGGAACCTCTTTCTGTGTCTTCGGACTGTAGGATCGGGGGTTGGGCCTTTTAAGTTTACGGCTTAACGTCGCGGTGTGTTGCGACTAGTGAGGACCTACACCTAGAACCCCAGAACCTCTAGGCACGAAGCCCTTGGGCAGTTCTCTAAATTCAGATCTCTTTTTTCGGTCCTCCAATACAGTACGGCACCCTTATATAAAAAGGACCCCAAAACGGACTCTGATTTAGAGAACAAACCCCCTTTATCATCGAAACTTCGCGTAAAGCCCGTCAACGAAGAGCCAGCCTTGCCGGGTGGCAGGATGGAAGTCAAGGCCGCCAAAATCTCAAAGTCCTCTCTCTAGGGTTCCTTTGCTTAGTTGCTGAGTTCATAAGCCAAAAACAGTGTACACTTTCAGTTCCATAAGGAGTCATATTATCCCAAAAAGTTTAAAGTGTACTCATTCAGCTACTAAGTTTGAGGGAACTACCAAGGCTACTGATTGCACGGGTCTTACAAAGGTAGTATAGGGCTTAGGGAGCTTTGGGTTTAAGGCTTTTTTATAATCAGGGGACACACGCAAAAGTTGGAACAGGGGTTCTATAAGGGTATTTTAGGATTCAAGCTTTCGGGTCTACACCAAAGGGTATACGGGTTCTATAAGAGCAGCATGAAGCATTATAGGATTCAGGGCTTGAAGGTCTAGAGTTCGCGGCTTGCGTGGGGCCAAGCCTGGCAGTCTACATCAGAGACCCTGAGCCCCAAGATTTCTGCAACCTCCCCATAGGCCCCTAAGTGGTTCCTCTTTATACGTTTATATTTAGAATCCTGTAAGGTATTCCCAAAAAGTAAGTACTTAGGGGCCTAGGGGTCAACTCCTACTCCTCACTGTACGTACTTCTGAAGAACTCAATGGTCCTCAAAAAGCAGGAGGCTCTGCATCTGACGAAGCCCTATGCCCTGTGAATGCTGTGAGGAAGCATTTCGGGCTCGATGGCCTTGAATTAAAGGAAACTACAGGTGGGGAGTTTAGGGTAGAAAAGGGCTTCTTTGTAAGGTATATAGATCTTCTATAAGGTTCCTATAAAGGATAACTACCCACCTGGAAATGTCCTAGATTGAATTGAAAGAGCTTCAGGACGCTAATCGCTTATGTTGGGAAGGCTACTGGGTCGCAAGCGTTTTTTTTTCAGGGGTCTTTTACAATAGGAAGGGGTCTGTTATGCAACCCTATGCTGCTAAACCCTCAACTCAACTTTACATCCTAGAACTCTACAAACCCTAAACCTCACACCGCAGACACTTAAACCCACAACTTCATACCCTAGATCCTAAACCCAGAACCTCATATCCAAGACCTCTAAACCCCCAACCTTATACCCTACCTATTGTATAGTCTCCATTGTAGTGCTTTCTTGGGGCTGCCTCGAAGAATTCCACTATAAACATAGTCAAAACCCCAAACAAGGAGCTACATTGGAGACTATAGGCAGACCTCTATACCAGCACCCCCCCAACTACCCTCTATGATACCCTAAAGACCCACTATTAAGGACCATAAGGGCTCTATTAAAGGGTACTTGGGGGGTGCTGGTAAACCCTAAATCCCTAAACCCTAAAAACCCTCAACCCTAAACCCTAAAACCCTGAACCCTAAAACCCTAAAACCCTGAACCCTAAACCCTAAAACCCTAAAACCCTAAACCCTCAACTTTCAAGATGTCGCCCCCGGTCCTCAGCAGTCGGGGCTGCCTCCGTCTCCAAAAACTTGGGGCTCTCCGGGTTCTCCACATCCACGCCCTGTCTCACCTTGCAATGCATGCATATGATATACGTGCATGTGTGTATATACACTGTCATATAGATATATATATATGTATGTATATATATATACATACATACATACATACATACATACATACATACATATACACCTATACACTTATTTATATGTCGATGTATATGTATGTTTTTTGTACATGTACGGACCTGGATATAGGTAAAGATTTCTGCAGCTGGAACTGTGTGTACACACATGGTTATGTGTATTACATATGTACGTATGTATGTATGTATGTATGTATGTATGTATGTATGCATGTATGCATGTATGCATGTATGCATGTATGCATGTATGTATGTATGTATGTATGTGTACGATTCTATACATATACACATCATCACTTGTTTTTATGTTACGCATACTGCAAGTAACTAGGAGCCGTAACAAGTGTTGTAGGGCTCTCTCAAGCCCACTTAGGGTTTAGGGTTCAAGCTAGTTTAAGGCTCCAGTCGAGGGTTCAGGGGGGGGTGTAAGGATTGCAAGTTTTCTACACGCCCTCGTCCTTTGTAACTAGTGAAATCAGACTTCCGAAGCCCAAAGAACATGCAACTATCCTAAACCCTAAGCCCTAAACCCAACTATCCTAAACTCTAAACCCTAAACCCTAAGCCCCAAAACCCTAAACCATAAACCCAACTATCCTGAACCCTAAACCCTAATCTCTAAACCCTAAGCCCTATACACACGGCGAGCCATAATTGGATTTGATGGCTTAGGCGTGGAGCTCGAAGTCCCGGGTTTCCGGTTTTTTGTGCCCACAGAGAGCTCTCTACCTCTGAAAGTCAAGGGCTTAGGGTTTAGGGTTTATAATTGGGTTTATAATGAGTAATAACAGGGTTTAGGGTTTATAATAGGGTTTATAATGAGGGTTTAGGGCTTCAGAAGAAGCTCCATCCTACTAAGTGATGCGGCGATGCGGTTGAGTCTGGTGGGAAACTGAAGTTGCCTTCAAGATTTAGGTCCCCTGTTTCTCATTAGCTTACCCACACCGGAAGCTTTAGGCAATCACAGATTCGGGTTCCTGTAAAAATGGAGAAGAAGGGGCATAGAAGGGTTTAGGGTTTAGGGTTGGGCACCATGAGGCTACTATTGCAAGGGTTTAGGGTTGAAGGTCTTGGCCTCTAGGCTAAACATCACGCTTTATGTGCTGCTTTTCGAGACTCACCTTGTGAATCCACTCCATGATCTCGTCCTGGTCAAACCTTGGTGGCGCTTCCCATCGTCTGTTTTCCATGCGATGTCTGCAGGCAACCAGACCGACTTGTATATGGAAGGGACGATAAGGGGAGACTGTTCGAAATTACTCGGGCCTTTGAATTGCTGCAGCATGCGTTGCAACATCCAGAACAAAGAAAATCAACAGAGTCATTCTTGCCGAAGGCATGCCTGTACACGACTCATAGACGAAAAGCTCTTCCGAACGTTGCTTGCTGTCAGCTCCTCTGGCATCATTGATCCAAGGGCATAAAGCTCAAGGGGATGGAAGGGTGGGATCAAGGTAGGTGGGGAGATCCGCAATTGAGAGCCCGTATACAAAGGATCCTTAGCTCTACCTACCTTCATCCCTGATGAGGCCCCTGTTACGGCTTTCTGCCGCACGAACTACTGGCATCTCGCGTCCTCCTCTGAAAACCACGAGACACGCTCCACGACTGCACACAGCAAAGCACATCAGCTGCACTGCCACCAAGATACCGCTGAAGGCCATCCACGAAGACCATCAGCCGTGCCGAGGGACCCGACTCCTTTGTTTCGGGTTTGGCGCATAGTGATTTGAGGTTTGGGCTCAGTGTTCACGGTCCAGGGTCCGGAGCGATTTTCAGGCCAGGTGTGCTGACGGCTTCCGTGACCTTCTGTGCAGATGCTAGGCAGCGAAAGAAAGTTGCCGCAGCAATTCCAGAAAAGGAGGCACTACATGCTGCCCATAGGCCCCTAAGTAGTTCCTTTTTGGGGATTACCTTATATAACCCTAAACCCTAAACCCTAATATAGGATTCTAAAGATGAACCATGACAAGGAACTCCTTACGGGCCTACAGGGCCCAGAAGAGGTCGGGCCCGTGTTCGGATTGACCTTCCAAGCCTCGACTGGGAAGTCCTGGGTTCCCAGAGAGCTTGGGATGAACGGCCAGAGTTTTTTTTATTTTTTATGGATTTTTAGGGGCTTTAGGGCTTTGGGGTTTTGGGTTTAGGTTTTCTGGGTTTTTAGGCTTTAGGGTTTGGGTGTAGGTTTTGTGGCTTTTTAGGCTTTAGGGTTTTGGGCTTAGGGTTTAGGATGGCTTGGGGTTTGGAGTGTAAGTCTCCAGCTTGGAACATCAATGTTCTGATGATGACTGCCGTGGTGGTGATGACGGTGATGCCGAAGGTCGTGATGACTAGTGCTGCCATGCCAAAGACCATGCAACAATGAACCATGCGAAAGTTCTGAAATCGCCATACTGAAACTGCTAGTCTACTGCTTAGTCTTGAAGACTACTAGCTGCTGCCGCTAAAGTTAAGGAGGCAATGCTATCGTTGAAAGAAACGCGGGCCTGAGTACTGTGCTATCCATGCTGAGCCAAGTTGCCGAAGAGTCCAAAGTACTGATGCTGTGCTGCAGCTCCTCCTGT